GGGGTGGTGAGGCTCAGCTTCCCGCAGTGCCCGCCATCGATCTGCTCTCACCAGATTCATTAGTGGCTCCATCGGTGTCCCGAGGGCTGGGAAGGAGCATCGCCCCATCCCCAGGGGCTGGAAGGCTCACCTGCTGAGCCTCCAGCCTTGGACGCCTTTTCCAGGGCTTCCCGGCACAGCTCGGGTTGGGATCCGCTGTGCTGGATGCTCTCTGGGGTCTCCCCTGCGTCTGGGCTGCTGGGGAAGTGTGGGGTTGTTCCCCATCCTGCTTTTCTGTACTGCCTCGTTAATGGCCCAGGAAAACCCCGCTGTGGGTTGCTCTGGGCTCTCAGGAGGATGCATCCATCGCCCCTCCATCCCCGGCTCTGGAGGCTGGGTGCTCTGATCTCCCAAGGCCTTCAAACCCAGTTGTGGGGTGCTGATGCCCTTCTGTGGCAAGTTGGGCCCTTTATCCCCCCAATTTTTTGACTGGAGCAGCATTCCCATGAGTCCCATCTTTCCTCTCACCGGCGCAGGGTCACCCCCTCGCCGCGGTGCCCGTAAACCCTCGTGACAAACATCCCACCGTGGAAGTGCTGTCCCATCTCGGCTGGGAAAAGTCAACCCCCACCACTCTGCAAGGAAAAGCTGCCTGGGAAGGGCCGGTGGGATGTTCCTGACATTCCCAGTGGCTTGGCTCAGCCAGCAGGGTGTCCCAATGTTTTATGTGCCTGGCAGAGTGTTCCTGAGGCTCGTCTGGGGGTGAGGGAATAAGGGGCCTGGGGGACCCAAAACCACATGCTCACTTATCTGGGCTGGATCCTGCTTCCTGGGCAGGCCATGGCCATGCTGGGCTCCACAGCTCTCGAGGGGGTGGGATGTGGGGACATGGGGATACAGGGATGTGGGAATGCAGGGACACACACACGCAGGGATATGGGGATGCTGGGATGTGGAGAGGCAGGGATGCAGGGACACAGGATTTCAGGAATATGGGGATGAGGGGCATGCCCACACATCTCCTGGTGCATCTCAGCCCATTGCCAGGTGGTCACCCTGGAGTGGCACCCTCTGGGCTGACTGTGGGCAGCGGGATGGCCGAGGGCCCATCACCCCGGAGCAGCCCCGGGCATTTTGGCAGAGCCGAACAGCTGCCCTGGGAAATTGTTTTTTCCAGCCTGAACCACCACTGCTAATCTTCCCGGATGGTTTTAATGGAATTTAAAGGCGAGGAGGGATTATCCGAGGAGAACCCATTATGGGTGGCTTTGTGCCAGGGCAGGCTCTGAAATCCAGCAGCACCGGGCGAGGGAGCCCTGCCTGCCCCTGCCCGCTCCCTGCCTGCAGCAGGCAGGCTGGGAATGCTCCAGCATTCCCGCTGGTGGCATGTTGGACCCACATCCTTCTCCCGTGTCTCTGTGGGATCTTGCAGAGGCAATTTGGGGGGTGTCTGGGGGCTGTTCCCATAGGATGGAGGATGAGGGTGCCCCCTCCAGCACTAACCCCCCTTTGCTGTTTTGCAGGGTGTTTAAGAAAGCCAGTCCCAACGGGAAGGTAAGGGGCACATGGCAGGGCAGCCATGGGGGGGACAGGCATGGCTGGGAGTGGGGACAGGTCCCTGCACCCCAAAGCTGCCCTGCCATGGCAGCAGGAAGGGAGACTGAGGCACAGTGGGGTTGGGGGGGGCTTGTCCCAGGTCGGGGTTGAGCAGATGGGTTTTGGGGTGCTGGGGTGCAGGCAACCCTGTTTGTGGGGTTTTGGGTCTGGCAGCAGGGGCTGACAGCACCAGCCTGGCAGCTGCCTGCCCCGTGTCTCAGTTTCCCCATCAGGAGAAAGGTGGGAGGGTGGCACCTGGGGGCTCATCTCTGTCCCACGGGGGGACAAACCCCTAGGGTACCACCCAGGTGTCCCCAGATACAAAGTTTCTCCAGCTCTGGGGACAGCTGGAGGGGTTCCAGGCTTTGCCTGGGATGGGGGGGAGTTGGCTTTTGGGTGCCAAAGGGACAGGGTGACACATGGGGATCATGGGAAACACGGACCTCAGTGGGTGGTTGACTACATGGGCGGACCCTGGGGGGCTGCTCTGGACACCCCTGACCCCCTGTCCCCCCCACAGCTCACTGTCTACCTGGGGAAGAGGGATTTCGTGGATCACATCGACGTGGTGGACCCCGTGGGTATGTGGGGGCTCAGCTGGGGGGAGACACACATGCTGGGGTGGGCTGGGCCTGTCTGGGAGGAAGGATTTTGGGGAGCAGAAAACAGCTGGTTTGGGATAATATTTATGTCCCCCTGTAGCTTTGCATGTGCCCTGGGTGTGGTGGGTGCTGACTGTCCCCCTGCTGCCAGCATGTCCCTCCCCAACCCCAGCTGGCAGCTTGGGGGTGATGCCTCTCTGTGTAAAGGAGGGGCAAGTCCCCCCTTAACCCTGCTGGTGTCCCCCCAAACCTTGCCTATACATCCCCCCTTAACCCTACCAGCGTGTCCCCTGACCCTGGCAGTGTGTGTGTCCCCTCCCAGCAGTGTCC